ATGCACACAGCAGCAGACTTCCTTCGATTTTTGAATTTTTTTCTTTTCCCAGATTAGCCCTAAGATATCAGATACACTCCTGTGATGCGAGGGAATTTCTGGTCAGTCCATCCATCACGAGGGGAGACCCAAACTTGGCAGTGTACTGTGTTGCTAAAACAGGGTGTTGGGTAGGTTAGGCATCACCAGTGCATATCAACCCACTGTTACATCATCTTTCTGTGGATGGATGAAGACATCACCCCTTCTTGTGGAGGGAAGCATCTATGTATTATGACTCGGCTCTAGAAACATCTAGCAGAATCCTGCAGGGAAGGGTTCCGGGAAAAGATTTCTGAGATGAGAATGTTGTCTTAGCAAGCATCTCAACAATAAGTACTGCCCAGGGATTCCATGGTAAAAGGATAGAGGGCAGAGTATAGGCAGAAAGGTCCAGGGAGAACATTCTGAGAGTCAGGAGTACTACTCCTATGACCCAATGCTCCAAAGCATTTCCCTGGATAAAAAAGTATGCTCCAAAAATGTCAGTCCACCCAGAATGTCATGAGAGAGGGTTACCCATAAACTGAGGATGTACATGGGCAGGCACGTGCACAATTTCAGTCGAATATTGCACTTCAGATTCATAATGTCTAATATAAATACTAGGATTCTTCCTAAAAGCAGGGTTTCGATACATACTTCATTCTTCTGCCTCAGATGCCCAGGTGTTGATAGTTTAGGTATTTGGTATACTCAGCTTAAATATTATAGTTAATATTAAATATTAAGGTGCAGTCATGTTTTCTGACAGGGAATCTCTCCATTGAATGAACACGTTATTATCCTCATGTCCTTTCAGAAGGAAAAGAATTAATGCTATGTTGTAAAAGGTGACTTTTAGCCAGCACCAGTGACTCGAGGTTGTCGTATCAGCTCCTCTGGAAACTGAGGCAGGAATATCACAAAGACAAGACTAGTCGGGGCTATTAGAGTGGGTTCAAGTCTAGCCTGGGTCGTGAGACACCGTCTGGATAGTAAAACAAAGGTGGGGCATGCAGTCAAGTGGTAGGACACTGGGTTCAGTCCCTCTGGCCACACACAGAAACGTGACCTCTAGAAAAACATAATCCAATCTTTGGAGGTGTCCATTTTATATGTATAAAAACACAAAAATTCCAAAAGCATAAAAGAACACGTTAATAGGCGTTAGATGAATTCGGTGGTGTGTTTAATTTTTCTTCCTTTTGGCATGTCTAGTTTCAAAATATTTTTAACTTATTTTGCCTGCACCTGTAAACACACACAAGCGTATGTGTACACCCACACACCTGCACAGGCACAAGCCAAGGAGACCAGAGGACACTCTCGGGGGAACTAGTTCTTTCCTTAGGCTGTATGAACACCAGGGTCTGAACTCGGGTCATGAGGCTAGTGGCAGGTGCCTGGACCAGTTTAGCCATTTTTCCACCCATTCAAAACTTACAACAATCAAAACTGTGATTCTTAGGTTTTTAAACTCCGTTTTAGTTTCATAATCTTTCATGGTTAAAAAGCTCAGAGAATCAGAGAGCAATCTGCAGCCGGGACAATTGGGTTCTTGGTTCTGGCCTAAACTTTAATAACGTCTGGCCCCAGGATGTAGTCGGCCTCCCAATCTCCTTCTTATCTGGCACCAGACATTTCATCCCTTCTTTTTCTTCTGGCACTAATTCCATGTCTGACCACAGGCAAGAAGCAAAATCTGAGCCCCAATCCTCCGAGGTTTTTAGGAACGTTCTGTTCACTCATATAGGAAAAGGGAAATGCCAGGAGGCCACAAGCATGACAAAGTGTAAGAGGAAAAAAAAATGATTGTTTTTTTTTTTTTCATGAGGTCTAACTCGGGGACAATTGAGGCCTATTAGCAATCGTCAAACCCCAAGCAGCACAGGAATTGAGGGGTGGGAACAGGGAGTGTTTGAAGGACCGCTGCTAGGTTGAGTGAGTTAAACAGTGTTATTTATCGCCAAAGTCAAACAGGAGTGGAGGACAGGAAAACCAGTGCTCACGATAGTTAACACCTTTTCCCAACCAGCGGACATTAAACATCACAAGTGTCTGTAAAGCTCTGCTGTGTTTGTGTGAACCTGTCTGCATTCTCAGGAAGGTCATGGAGCCTGTGGACAGGAAGCAGGGCATGGCCGGGAGTGTGAGGGCACAGAGGTTGACACCGGGGCTCCCTCGGCTAACCGAGTAAGCAAGGCCACACTAAATGAACCATCGCCCACTCTCAGCACATCCCAAAGTGAGCAGCAGAAAATCCCCGTGCACTCGCCCACCAGGCAGAGCTGTGAGCCAACTATTTCCTCCTCCTCACTCCTCACCTGGACTCCACCAAGGCAGGACACCTAATATTAACAAGCACTTTGGCCATACGAGGACCATTTAATGAGAGGCGACAAGGCAGCTACTTCAGGCCTAGTAATCAAATCACCTTTCTGCATTTCCTCTTATCTACAAAAACACTGAAGTTAAAAAATAAATAAATAAAAGCAAAAATGAGAGTTCAGTATTCCCTCTTTTCGTGGAACCAGGGATGATCGGCATTCATAATGTTTGAAGCACGTAATTCATTCTTAGAAAGTGTACAATATTAAACAGTATGTTAAATTTTATCTACAACTTGAATTGGAAATTATTTCTAACGGTTTAAATGAAATAGCAGGTGAAAACAATCCAAAGTAAGCATGTCCTGTTCTCTGTAGAAGACTTCCTTCAGTGGTGAATGTAATTTATTTGCAATGACCACACAAATCCAATGCTGTAAGTCGGTTCGCACATTAAATCAAGACAGAGCTGGTGTAGTTGATCGTGTCTATTAACTCCAGCACACAGGAGGCAGAGGCAGGACGAACACCAGTCTAAAGCCAGAGTGGTCAATATAGTGAGTCCCAGGGCAGCCTGAGTTACAGTGAGACTGTCTCAAAAACAATTCTAAAAATACAAAAATAACTCAAGATCCAGCAGGGACATTTTAATTTTTAATACCTGATGGATATTTCAGATTTGGGAGTGGATAATAACTGTGTGTTTCTAATATGGCTAATGAAAGAAATAAAATTTTAATTTTAAAAAACATCTGCCCTTGAGTACAAACATAAGGAATTTCCTACTGTCCTGCGTTAGGCAACTTTATATTTGTTGCACTGAAAGAAGCCTCAAGAAAGCAAAGCAATCAGACAGCTCTATTTTTTCTTCTTTCCACATCATACACACAAGCCCCAGCTATTTAAACAGGCACAAAGGAAAAACATTACTTCTTAATAGAATGACATAGGAATGGAAATATTTCTTACTTCAAGAGCAGCCGTGGTACTTGTTTCTACAATGAAAACTGATGTTATCGTGATTAGTTAATTACTCATCCAACACCTTAGACCTGATCCTGGGGACGTTCACAATTTCTCCACCTTGCGCTACAGAACCCTAGTGCGGTGATTGCTGATAAATAATCTTAGCTGCAACATCTAGCACATAGAGGAGATTAAAGTCACAGAGTGCCTCTCTTGGTGCAGACACTGGGACCGCAAGTGCCTTTGCATAAATCAGAGCACCTGGGAGGCTGAGGCAGGAGGACTACCTTGAGTTCTAGGCCAGCCTGGGTTATACAAGAAACACGAAGAACAAACACACACACACACACACACTTCCTTAAAGAAAGGCCCACTTAGGGTATGCCTGTCCCCACACTCCACTAAAGGGGGATGACATTCATATACGCATGTCCTCTGAATATTAAGTGTAGGAGCAGCGTTAATTTAATCAAACATCCTCTAATTTAATTTGATCCATAATTACAAAAATGATGGTACTCTCAAAAATTAAGAAATAATGTAATTTAGTCCCTCCCCCAAAGACAATAAAGCTTGAGAATTCACTGATAAATTCTCAACTAGTCAATCAAGGTTATGCCAGTCCTGGGACTTAGGGTGGACTGTATTTGGGTACGGGATAGCCATACCAACTAAGATTTTAGTTTTTGTATTTTTGAAATAAAGGATACGATATAAGTTCTAAGTATTTTAAAGGTACACATTAAATCAATCAAGCTTTTGAAAATATTTACAGATGAAAGCTTCCTTGCAATTTCTACATTCATAAATGTTTCCATTAGTTAAGAGATATTTTGGAATGTAGTCAAGCTATTTTGAATGTCGACTCCTAACAACTGGGCTAGGCTAAAGAGTCTCCATAGACTAAATGCCTGACAATGCCCAAAGCTCTTTTAAATCAGTTGTCCCTTAAAAGGATAAAGAAAGAAAACCCCAACCACGAAAAGGTGTGTTTTTATAGAAACTTTTGATGTTAATTCTACTTCCTCAATATAAAACTGGATTAGGGCGGCATCAAAGCCTTGACAATTTACTACTCAAATATGCATTTCTCATTCTTCCTCAGAAGAAAACGTCATCCATTCCAACTACATAAAACTGTCCAAAAGCTTTCCTACGATAATGTGAAAACCCAAATACCCACTCCTTGGGAGTGAGAAACACACACACACACAAGCCTGGAGAACTAGCAGACCGCAGGCTTATCGCTTATGTCAACCTTCAGGAAAATGGAAACAATACAGCCCTAACTCATCAGAAAAAAATCACCACTGGGGATCAAACTATTTTATGTCTTTCTCGTATTCCACTCCAAGCTTAATACTCCAATTTTGCACCGGTTCGCCTGTGTCAAATCCCGAATGCGTAAGGAGCAATCTACTACTGAAGCAAAACAGTTTCTTAGCATGAGAGTTCTGCTCATTGCCCGTAGCGTAGCTTTAGAGAAAAAAAGAAAGAAAAACCTTCAAACATACTCATTTTCCTCCTGCTATAATAAAATCGGGAGACATCAGTGCAGGAATGCAGCCAGAGAGCAGCCCCAAGAATTAAACAAACAAGCAAAATACCCAAACACGGAACACGCTCTGAACAAAGGAAACACAAGCGTGTGAACAGGAAATGAAGCAACTCTATATACATAAATACCTTTTGGGGCCGCCAACGTAGGTGAAAGTAAAGGTGGAGTCTGAGTATCTGAAATCTGAAACGGAAAGTCCTGTTAAAAAGCCACCCCGGGTGGGTTGTTTTTAACCCCAATTCTGTCTTGAACCTGCTATTTCATCTGAGCCAAGGAGGCCCGATTAGGAGGGAATAGAGGGCTAGAGAACGAGGGGTGGGCACGGCTACGGTGCGGGAGGGGATGCCGAGCACCCCGCGGGGTGCAGCGGGAGTCTGCCCCCCGCAACAAGTGCCGGGTGCCATGGCAACGGCGGGAATTTCCCAGCCAGGCGGCCGGAAGCAGCCCCAGCCAGGCTTCGGGCTGCGAAGCCCGAACTGCTCTCGGCCTCGGGGGAGCAAAGATGGACGCAAAGGGACCCCCAGGCTGGGCCTGCGTAGCTTGGGAGCCACGGGAATCCATTCGGTCCCCGGCGCGGTGTGTGTGCGCTCGCCGAGGAGCGGGTGCAAGCAAGGGGGCGGGAGCTCGGCCCAGCGCTGCCTTCTCCCGGGGCCTCGGTGGCGCCGAGCGGAGCAGCGCAGCGCAGCGCAGCCGGTCCCTTCCCGGCCGCCGCCGTTCGGCCGATGGCGCAAACCCGCCTGCTCGGCCGCGGCTGCCGGAGCCGGGAGGATGCTCTGGGCAGCGCCGGTGGCTGGAATCCAGCGCCCGGCCCCTGCGCTCCGACCGCGCGGGTTCTCCTGACCCCGGAGCCCGAGGCTACCCTGGCCTGTCAAAGCTGGGGGGCGGGGGAGAGGGGGCGCGTGCCCCCCTCCCCCTTGGGGCTCCAGCTCACGCCGCTGCAGCTGTTTCCAAATGCACCCGGAACGGGGACTTGCAGCCCCCCCTCTCCCCCCCCCCAAGCCGCACGCGTCGCGGTCAGAAATCTGGGCAGGGGGGTGGCCGGAGGGAAGGCTGGCTCCGGGTCCCAGGATCCGGGAGGCAAGAACTCACCTGCAAACAGGCAGTCTTTCTCGGCTCTGGACTTCTGGATCACGATGTCGATATCCTTCTGAATTCTCTCTTGCCTTGAACACATCCCCATTAAATAAATCCCTGGAAAAGAAGCAGCCGCTATTTCCACCCCACCCCACCCCCCTCGCACGCTTCCAGCTTTCGTAAATATTCAGTTAAAAATGAAACCTCTGGCCGAGGCAGGGGCTGAAGGCGAAGTGGTTTCGGAAGTGATCCCGGGTGAGAGAGGAGGAGGTGGGGGAGGAGGAGGAGGAGGGGGAGGTCGGCTTTGCATTCCCAGATGTGACCGCCCAGCTGCTGCTGCTCGCCGCTGCTGGATTCCAATTTCCTCCCCTTCTGACAATGGATGGTGATGACACCGAGTCTCACTTTCTCCCTCCCCCGCCCGGACTGACGGCCGTGGAGAGCCGAGGGGCCCGAAGGGGGCCGGGGACCGCTGGAGAGCGATCGGCAGCCTTGGAGCTGCGGGCGCCGGCTAGGGGCGAGCCCCGCTCCGACTCACGCGCGCACACCCCTCGCAGCCCGCACGCCGGCCTTCCCACACCCGCGCACACTCGCGCCCGCGGGCGGCGGCCGTGCCCAGGCTGCTGCAGCGCCGCCCGCCCGCCGCAGACCCTCCCGCACCGGCCGCGGGTCACCGAGCCCGGCTGCGCGCCGCTGGGGCTTTAATAGTATTCGCCATCCGCGCAGTCTGGATTTCCCCACCCCCGACCGCCACTCGCGCCGGGAGCTGAGTGACAGTGTAGGTAGTGAAGACTCCCTGGGGCTCCCAGCCTCTCCCGCACCCTCCCCTTCCACCACTTTTATGAATTCGACTCCACTTTCAGAAGGAATTATGAGTCATATGGAAACCCAAGCCCGAGTGGCTGGGAGGGAGAAAGGAGGAAAAGAAGAATCTTCACGAATTAAAAATAAATAAAGTGAACAAATCTTTCCTTGTAGTCATCTCAGACAAGAAAAGGGAAAGCCTAGAGATTACTCCAGAATCACTCCCCTATTTCCTTAATGCCTTCAGTTTTTGGTAGTGGTAGTGATGGGGTTTTGTGGTTGTTATTGGTTGGTTGGTTGGTTTTGTTCTGTTTTGTTTTGTTTTGTTTTCTCCCAGGTTGAAGTTCAGCCGCTTTGAGGAGCTCTTTAGAAAATGAAACCCTTTGTGCTAGACTCCAAAGACTCCCCAGTTCTTCCCTCTAAGCCACTAATAAGAAATTGACAGGCGCAGCTGGAATGTGCCAGGGTCTCCCTAGAAGAGGGGCTGGCTTAGGACCTCTTCAAAAGCCACCCTTGTGCGGGTTGCTCAAGGGAAAAGCTTCTCCAGCCCTGTTATCCTTAGCAGAAAGGGGATACTGCTGAGATCCTCGCTCCTGCACTGCCTCAAGCTTATAATAGCTGACCCACCCTTATTGCCATATTTATTGGCATACTTAACGTGGACAGGGTTCCACCAAGTACTTTAGCATTTTCACTGGGAACTTTCCCTTGGCAAACCAGGCTCATTTTGCTTTGCATTCCAAAACCAAACAGTGTCTGGAATAAAGGAGGTGTTATCAATCAGCTAGCTGGTCCGGGGCCTTTTCATCTTCCAGATAGGAATAGTGAGTAGGCGAGAGGTTCTTCCTGTGCTGGCGAGCCTGGCTGAGTGCCCCAGGCCTAGGGGCTGAACAGATAGACCCAGAGGAGTATTATCATCTCAAACCCTGTAGAATCCAGCCGCTTACTGCTCTTGACACTCAAGTTGGAAGCTAACCCATCTCCAGCCTTTGAGCATCTGTAGTCTCAGACTTAACCTTTTTTGTAACATCAGTTGCTGACAGTCCTGGGTGACAACAGAAAACTGCAGCAATTAGGTGGGGGGAAGAGGGGGCTTTCCAGTGTAAAGTTCTCCTACAGGCCTTGGACACCAGTATCCTTAGCCCTGCCCTGATAAGTAATATGAGCCCCAGGCCAATGATTGCTCCAATTTGCATCCCTTGAGGCTTGACAATACTCAGAAGTTCTTCCAGAGACCAAACAAGGCCTTCAGTTTCCCACACTACCTTGCTTGAGAAGACTTCTCTAAAGGTTAATGCTGCAATGAGGGTGGGGGAGGGGCTCAGAGGGGCGTGTCTTCTCGACTAAAATGAGCCAAACCTGTTTCTAGAGCCAGAAAAGAGGTGTGGGGATAGTGTTTGAACCGATCCTGGTACTTCCTCACCGAGGACTGTGTTGACAGGATTCGTGGGCCTTCTGACGGATTACTAAGGAAAGTCTCCACCTGGTAGGAGTGGGGAAGGCTTCAAGGTCACCTAGAATTTACCAAGGTGCCTGGTGGGACCTGTGCTAGCTGTTTGAAACACTCGTGTCGGAGATAGTGACATTAGCAGTTGGAGTTATACTTTATTACCTGGATTGCTTCTTCTATCCCAGAGGAGAAAAGCCATGGTGATTGCAGTATAGCTTCCTCAAGGCTCCTGTGGAGTGTTCAGAATGGCAAGTGGCTAGGGTGAGGGTATTTGGGCTGGCTACTTGATTGATGACCCAGTGCTTAAGGCAGCCAAGACATCAAGGAAGGGTAGTGAAGCTTACAAGTTAAGGCATCAATTTACCCTAGTCTGCAACATACCACTAAGAAAGGATACTTTCAAGCTACAAAGAAACCCTGTCTCGAAAAACCACACAAACACACACACAAAAAGGATACTTTCAACAAATTCCCATTGCCAGTAACATTTATTTAACAGTGCTTTAATGACGCTTGACTCCTTCAGCCAAGGCTTTAGAGAGGCAGGTTCCGTCTTCAAGACCTTAGTGCTGGCTGAAACAAGAGGAGTTGTTCCTCACAGCCTTTGTGAGTAAGGTACATGGCTCTCAGTGTCTCTATCAGCCTACGTTTCCAATAGTAACTGAAGTGGCTCAGATCTTTCCTCTCTCCGATTCTTGACAGTGGTGACGTGATGTGGACGAGAGGAAGATCAGATTCAATTCTGCCACATCAAAAGTAAGAGATGGCATCCCACCTCGCCTAGCAGATAAGAAACACGGCATGCTGGCAAATTCAGTCATCCCACTGAACTTAAAAAAGTGCGCTCCACATTCTCTAGATACACTGCACCTACAGCTGTATAGCAACTCTCTGCGGCTGGATGAGTCCTGATTAGGACCTAGTGGGTGCGAGTCCCCCCCTTCCCCCCCCCCCAGCTGCTTTGCTGCAGACACCTCAGACAACAAAAGAACATTTCTCTCCTCATTCTTGCCCACTCCTAAATTTACAAGTACATCATTCTATTATAAGCTAATCATATACATACAGGAATAAAACTATTTAGTATAAATGTGCTTGTCTCCCCTATATACAATTGACAAATTTCTCATTGTTCTGCTACTACATGCAGTAGTTTTTCTAGCATATAATTTGGATAAATTTGTTACGGACAACTTATAATTTCAGGACTAGCGCTATCCTCTAGTCCATGGCAGTATGCCCTATGTGCCTGGCATTCTTTGGAGATCCTGACGGTAACTGAGGGCAATCACAATCTAGCCTTTTTTTTTTTTTTTTTTTTTTTTTTGGAAGTCTCCTTCTGAGTCACTCTATTTGACAGGCACCATTTGGTTGCATGAAAGAACTCTAGCTGAAATCAAAAAAGACTACATGGGATTTGCTGGCTTATGGAGTATGGAGGCCCAAAAACATGAGCCTGTTTCCACGTTGAACAAAGGTCAGAGAGTTGGAACTTACCTCTAGTTGCTTCAAGGTTATTGTCTGTTTCTACCTCCAACAAAAATCCCACCTAGTTGTTGCTCAGAGAGTCCCCCCCCCC